CATAGAAACATTTCAATGAAATATCTTCACTGTAACGTTTGATGTGTCTCATGCAAAATTTGAGCACATGAGATAACAACAAAAAAGAATGCAGAGCACAAAAATAATCAAACAAATTCCAAAAAATAAATAAGTAAGCAACGAAATAATTTACAGACAATGTACATGGAATTGCTGCAGGATTGTGGTCAATCCTCAAAGTTTTGGGGCAACTTCCGAATCGTGAATTAGAACCGGAACGTTACGCTGCAGCTTCGGCAATTTCAGTGAGTGTCTCAAGGGCAGGCATGAACTTCATATGTCTTTTTGTTGGGCGTGTACTGATCCTGGATGGCCTTTGAGTGGTTTTCTCCTCCTGAAATACCTGTTCGAATAAGATCAGAGTGAATGAAGTGTTTTCAGCGAGATTACTGGATAAATATTAAAGAACAGAATACGCAAACCAAATGAAAAGCATCAAAAATCTACATAATTATTCACTAAAATAACAATGAGCTGATAACNAATCGCACTGAACCACATGTTTCGGTCACTTCCTATAAATTATCAATTATCACGATGGCCTGTTAACCAGATTAATTATGTTTTGTTATCGCTAGTGATTGAACACAAACACCATTGCACACTCATTGCCTCATATTAACTCAGAATTGATAAACTTTCTTGGAGGTCTTAAACTTTGATAAAATGAAACAGTACAATCACTGATTTATGTGTCAACATATTGCTGAAAATCGCTTTGTGCGTTTTAGTAATTCAAACATCAGAATGTAAACAGTTGCTCAACAGTTGATCGTAGATCTATTTGTGTGTAATATAAATCAAAACCGAGCAAAGAGAATGAGTGTGAGTGACTCNCATTAAGTGCGTTTGAATTTCACTCAAATCAAATCAAATGGTCACCTGTTCGAAGGCGATCAGTTGTCTCCAGAAACCGAGATTCGGTCTGACCAAAGGCCGTCTTGAAGCCATATGGAAGTAGGCATCACGAAGTGACATATTATGGTATTTGACAAGGAACGCAAGACAGATGGCCGCAGATCGTGACACACCGGCCACACAATGCACTAGGACATTGGCACCTTGTGAGATGGCTTCTTCAATCTGAACGCAAAAATTAAACGATAGATTGCTAAATAAAATTTCACAAATTTTTGTTTCATAAGAGGGAATCTTCTGATCTTCGTTCCATTGGAATGTTTCTTTTTTTTTTCAAAGGAATCTTCAATCCACTGTAATTTGCGTTCTTTTTTTTCAAGTTGACGTGCAAATACGTATCAAATTTCAAATGTTCATCTTTAAAAGTGTATTAGCTGATAAGAATGACATGCTTCTTTAGTTTTTATCAATTGATAGGGCATGAGCTTCTGAATTTGTTGATAATTGATAAGGGCAATAAACCACTTTGAATTGAGAACACTCTCTGGTAAACACAACGATCACTCACTTGATCACACAGTAAGTGCAAATGCGGGTAGAGGTCAGCTTTTGTGGTGTCCTCCAGCCAGAGCTTTACACGAGCGATTGAGCCAAGGCTACGAGCATTAGGCACCTTAAAATTACAGTTATTATCATTATTTCACTGGTAAAATTCGATAAGGTTATAAAACTAATCAAAGAGATAGCGAAATACGACGATTTTCGTTTGGAAGTGCCTTTTTTAGATGAGAAAATATACGCATCTTCACTCAAAACTGATCTATAAAGGTGGCAGCTAGGATGGGTAATATTCTCGATAAAGCTTACTTCAGTGGTGGCGTTAACGATCAACGCGATGTTGTATTTCTGCATATTTTCCGCAGTCAAAGCTGTCACACCACAGATATACAAGCCGCTGACCACTTCGGTCATTTGGGCATTCTTCTCATTGACACAGAACAACATTTTGACGACCGACTTTCAATTCAATTTCAGATTTTTTGCTTTCCTGAATCATTAACATCTCATCATTAACTCTTTCGTTTGCAATTACCAGCGGAAGTATCAGCGAGCGATAGGTTCGACAAACAACAACAGAAATTTGTTCCGGTGACAGATGTGTAACGAGACTGGTTGACTGATACTGATCGTGAGACAATTCAAACGGCCACTTCACTTGTTCAGTGGCAAAAAAAACTGGATTATTGAGGAAAGCAATTCGTACACAGACGAAAACAGGAATTGCTTGGTGAAAAGTGAATGAAAATCAAATTTTTAGCATCAACAATGAGAATTGTATCAAAAAAAAACCGAAAGCAATAATGCATTATGGTCGAATTTTCGGTTGTTTCAGTCGCACTTCACGAAAATGTTTACGATTCAGCTGCGATTATGCATTTTGATTGGAAGAACGAATTGTTTTCAACAAATTGATCGTTAAGAACGAGAATGCTACTTTGAGAATAAATCATTCAAGTTATTAGAGATTTAAAATCGCACAGCACAGCCAATGGAAGCAATCGAAATTAGATGACATTGCATTCAATTGCTAAATAAAATTGCTAAAAGTTCCAAATATATCGCTAAATCAATGTGCTATAAATCGAAATCGCCCCACTCTCACAAGCGATCACTAGTGCCTAATAGTAAGTGAGAATCGCTTGTAAAACAGCAAACAAAAAAGTGAAATTCTATGATTTGTATTCCAGCAGTTAAATGTAGCTAATCAACCTGGTTGTAAAACTTCTAACTGCAAGAACAACTGCAGACCTAATGCAAAATTTGTATCTTCAGTAAGATCATCGCATTTTTGTCCCACTCAATTAACTGATCAAAGATA